CAAAACAAAAGGCGCTTAACGTAAGAACTTGGCTACTTTATAACTGCGGTAGAGTATTAGATGCACCTCCTCAGAGCCCAGATCTCAACCCCATTGAGAATTTGTTGGTACATTTAAAAAAGAAGGTGGGAAAAAGAAATCCCAAGAACAATATCAATGCATTTCGATACGGTATATTAATGAAGAATGGGAAAAAATTCCTGGCTAGTATGACCTAGAAAAACTAATTAAATCAATGAAAAGCAGACTATAGGCAGTTATCAACTCTGGAATTAAAATTAACTATATTAATACATTACCGATTTTTGTTTAATTAAAATTTTTATGTAAAAACATTTTCTCACCATGTATTTTTCACACAATTCCGGAACACGTTCACTTTTCCTTTTATAACTAAGTACCCGGAATAAAGTTTCAATTGTTTTACAATAGGAGTATGTGTAATTTTATTTTAATATAACGAGCCGCTGTAATAAAAAAGTCAAAAGCATAACGTGTATTTGAATTCTCTATCATATCGAAAAGGAGGGAACGGGATACTTAGTCGGTCCTTTTTGGTTTTTACAGGGTGATATCCTCATGTGTTGTGTTTAATGATTTTTAATGTAAGTAAGATGTTGTCAATGTGGTGGGCAGTGGTTTACGGTGAGGAGGGGACCCAGTCTAGCTGTTCCTCTCGCGAAACGAGGACAGTAATGTATATCATAACTATTTGCTATGATAGTTATGACGTTTGGGATATCATGTCCCCGAATTTGAAAAAGTCTTTCTCTTCTTCTTTACTAGCGTAGACAGGGCTTAAGCGATTATAGCCCAGTTAACAACAGCGCTCAAGTCGTTTCTTGAATTGGATATTCCAAGCGAAGCCAGGTCCTTCTCTACCAGGTCCTTTCAACGGAGTGGAGGTCTTTTTCTTCCTCTGCTTCCCCTTTCCTTCCTATTGCATCCAATACTTTCAGTGTTTTCATCCATTCGGACACCATGATAATAATACTCTCGGTTTCGAGACGACAAGTTTACGTGCTTATCCAAAATAAATTCATAAAGGACTGCATATAATTGATGTTGTTGGTACCAGGTCATAGTTGATCTCTGAACTCAAATAGCCCAAAATTTTAAGAGAACAAATGTAAAGAGTGATAATTGATTCTGGATCTGGAAATCAAAAAGGGCACAAAGAACTAAAAGTATTAAATTAAGAGAATTTCCATTAATAATAGTAATACCCAACGATTACCCTCCTCCCAAGGCAAGAGAGGYTTAAGCATTGCAATCTTAAGCTGTTCAGCTACAGAAACAAAAATTTTAACAGCCAAAATTAAGACTAGGTTAAAGTTTATAATTTTTAAAAGTTTACTTGTTAAGAGTAGATAAAATAATTTGTTTAATGGCGAAGAGTGAGTCTGTTAAATCAAATGTGCTGGGATGAGAATTGAAATCATGACATATACGACGGAATGGTTCGTTTAACTCAAAATTTGTTCTAGATAATTTTAAAAATAAGGGTCTAAACTGCCTAGTAGAGTGAGGGGGAACGTTAAATTCAATATCAGATAAGAGATATGGGCTACAGACTGACTCATTCATTAGTTTTACAAGAAATATTATACCAAGCATCTCACTACGACTACCGAGTGTCGGGAGACTTATAAGTTTTAAACGGTTAGTGTAAGGGGGAAGATTTAAACTGGAATCCCAATGCAAATGATTTAAGGCAAAAAGTAAAAATTGTGTTTTAACGAACTCTAACTTATCTGAATGGACTTGGTAAATAGGGTTCCATACCACAGAAGCACACTCTAATATAGGCCTCACCAGAGATGTAAAAAGAAYTTTTGTGGTAAGCGGATCTCTAAATTCTTTAGCCAACGTTTAACAAACCTAAGAGCGCCTTTAGCTTTAAAAACCGTGGAAGATGCGTGCATATTAAAATTGAGTTTGTGGTCCATGGTTACTCCCAGATCAACAAAATGGATGGATGGATGCATACCTACTCCAATCTAAATTTTTGTATCGCGTATGAAGTAGGGTCTTCAGCTCTACGTGAAAAGCACATCGTTTTGCATTTTTAAAGGTTCAATGGCATGTCATTTCTATCACACCACCAAACTATGTTGTTTAAGTCTGTTTGCAACTGACATCTTTCGCTGTTTGAAGTACACGTTTTAAAAATTTTTACATCATCAGCATATAAACAATTTGGAATAGTACATTAAAATACAACTATGTAGGTATATGTTTTGCTACTCGTCTGTCCAAGTTCGCCTTTAGATTACCATTTTTAGTTCGTTCAAATATTTTTAGGAACGATAGATCAAACGTATTCTTTATTCATCAAAATGTATTGAAGTGAAACAGGACGAATCGGAGTAAAATAGTAAATTGGAAATGGATTGATGTCTGTCAAATAAAGCAGTTCAATATTGTGCCGAGTGTGATATAAAAGAACATTTCACTAAACATCTTCCGTCTGGTAATGAATACAAAACGCCGGCGAAAATAGATGGAATTTATTTCTGTAGCTGCTACCTCTCCCGAATGCTCTGCAAGGCAATTACGAAAAAATCCTGAACCAACCAGTACCCGACATTCTTACTACCCTACCAATAATGAGGTAGTAGCTACATACAGAGGATGCTCTGCTGAAAGCGTTCTGCATGATAGACGCAGTGCAGCTTAATGCCGATGGGAGAAATACAGCAGTATATTTGCGCAAGGCTTGTACATTATTTTTTTCCTTATATCTAAAAATAAGAGAAACTATATAAAATAGAAATGGTCGAAAAAGCTTTTCGCATTTTGTCAATAGATGTCGTTGCCTACAGGCACCTCTATATCTCCAGTGCTTATAATCGAATTGGTGCATACCATATAGTGTTGTGGTGAGATTTCAAGCTTCATTTAAAAAAAAAAATTAAATTCGGGGAAGTTGAAAAAAGTTACAGCTGTTCAAAATAATGAACAAATTCGCTATATTTTGAACTTTTTGTATAAAAAAGGAAAGAATGCCATGCATGCCACCAACGATTTGTGAAGTACATATATATATGTATAACTCATATGCTGACGGACACATAAGATTTGTTAGAAAAACGGAAACCACTATTTGTAGTATAATATTGACTAGATTTTATATATTTTCCCAATATTGCATACTATTAGCAAGACACATACTTAAAAGCCAACCATATAGAGTAAATTCAGAYAGATGTTCGAAAGTCAAATTTTCGCTTGAATTTATCTATTTTAGGCACACGTGAATCTCTGTTATGAGTAAAACACGATATGTAATTTTTATAGAGATAACTCAAATATTGGCAAATATATCCAGCATAAACCCAACTGGAAGTTCGAAAACCTTTATATTAGGTAGATGGCTGCTCAAGGAAGTATTGGCCTTATTCAAGCCATTTTTAACATACAGACATTCCATTGTCAGAGTATCAATTATATATCTTACATATTGACCGATATTTTCAATCAAAAGCCAACTATAGGTACTGGAGTCCATATATTCGGTACCTACGTTCTTGAACAGTTTTTGTTGGACTTGAACAATTTTTGATCATAGGTTGCATACACTAAAGGCATTATTCGTGCAAAGTTTAATTCCGTTATATTAATTGCTTATTGGTTTTTACAAAGTGACATAGAAATATAAAAAAAAAATACCACCTATCAAATTTTGTCGAAATCGGTCAGTCAGTTCCCGAGATATATATCGTCCAATTTTTACCACTGTCCGTATAAAGCTTTGTCGTTACATCCCGTCGGCAAATTTTTTGCCTCTCTGACGGGCGGACAAACAGATAATCAACCGGCTTTCAACTTTTATCGTCATCATTTATGTATATATAACGCTGTATCTATCTCGTTTAGTTTTAAGTGATACGTACAACCGTTAGGTGAACAAAACCATAATAGCAGAAACAGTGGAGAACGTAGAATCGTGGCCCGTGTCAGCTGATACGACCCATCTTATGGGCGCGCAATGTAAGTGCCAGAGATAATGAGATCTCCAACTCCTCTCTCACTGGAAGTGAGAGAGTAATTGCTAAACGGCAAAACCTACTGAACTTTGACAGTTGACTGGATTGAGTAGGTTTTGACGCTTTGCAATTGGAATGACTGGAACATCCAGATTGAAATTATACCAAAAATATATGTGAACGGAGGAATTTATTGCCGCCGTTCAAGATCGCTAATAAAAATTTAAAATAATGAAAATCAAAGAAAATGCGAAATTTAAATATATGTAAATTATGAAACGTTTTGTAATATAATGCATAATAGAATTAATTTTCTATCACAAATGATTAAAAACATTTATTAATTTAGAACTAACAGGCTGAAATATTGAAATATCGAAAGTCAGTTGTTTTAGTATACCATAAAATCATAAAAAMGGAATGAGGTAGTTTCGGCATATACTAAAAGTCCAATATATAATAATTTGCAATCGTAWHAAATGTTGGGTGTTTTAATTTAAATGCTCCAAAAGTTTTATTTTGTTCAATCTGGCCATAATGGAAATTGTTATAAAAAAACGCTTATTTTGAGGCGCTGTTACACTGGAATAAGTTGGGCATCCCATTACCCCTGGTAAGTGCACAGTGAAACACGCTACTCCCTTCTCTCTTTGATGTAGGATGACGTGAGAATTCACGGCATTTGGATTTTTGCCGTAGAAACGTGTCAGCTGATTGCTCTCTCACAACGCAGGGTTGCCAATCTCGAAATACTGTAGTAATTATAAAAGTTGTCTTCAATATGTTTAAAATTTTCTTAAAATAACTCAAAATCGGAGTTGAAAGCTATTATTTATAAATATATAATTTATTTTTAATAGTTTGTTTCCAGTTTTGATATTTTATATTATAAAAAATTGTAATTGAAAACATTGTAATTGTTCAAATGTAAACAAGCGCCATTAAAACAAACGTCAAATGAAAAATTTTTTGGATTGACTCAAAAAGGAAATATGTGTAAATAAAGAAACTATGGACGACGAAAAATTAATAGATCTAGTTGAAACTAGAAGTGAACTATTTAATAAGAGCAGTCCATACTACAAGCTGCAATCAAGGAAAGATACTTTGTGGGCTGAAATTGAGAGGGAGTTGAAAGCAAGTGGTAAGTTGCTTTGTTATTTACAACTGTTTATATTGTTAATTATAATTAATCCTATTTTTACAGGAGAAATGTATCGCCATAGATGGCTAACACTTCGGGACCGGTACAGGAGGGAAGTGCGAAAGGCTAACGCCCCCTCAGGCAGCGAGAAGGAGTTCCCAATGAAGTTTCTTAAGCCACATATTTTACCACGACCGTAAGTTTTAGTATATTAATTGAGTATACATACATACTTGTATTTGTAATAAAAACTTAAATCAGTCAGTTGCAATCACCAGCTGAAGAAACACAATTGCAGCCACAAGGACAAGCGCTGGAGGTCGAAGTGCCATCGCCGTTATGGTCATCTTTAAGCTCAATCACAATATCGCTGCCGTCGCCATCGCTTCCTTTCCCCGTGGCGCAAAGCGTACTATCCCCGACTCCCTCTTCCACATCAACCTCGCTTCCCTCACCATCCTGCTCTAGGCAGGTGGCTATCAAAAAGGGTAGAAAGCGAGGGTCATCTGTATCAACTATTAACGAGGTTGACCAGAAAATGATCGAAGCCATCGAGCTTTTTAAGAATAAATGCTCATCAACACAAACAACCCAGCAAACCCAACAAAAACAAACCGCAAACCCGGCAGCAGGCGTTCAGCACTTGACAACCATTTTAAATAAAATCATCGATTATCTGGCATCTCTCGTGTTCAGCTGTGTAATTTCGAGCTCCTGTAAATTTGTTTAATATATATTTTAAAAGTATTGTGAAAATTTTTTAATTAAGTGATCCATAACGATAAGTATCCCTGTGATATTTTTCTATTAAAGCATTTGAAATTTACTTAAATTGTGTATTGGTAATTTTTAATTATTCCGCCGAGTCACTTTCAATTTGTTTTTGTTGCTATATAATAAAATAGTGCAATTTTTGGCATTATATTGCTTATCTTAATTTCTTTCTTATTTTTATTCGTTTTCCATCTTTGTTCACAGCTGTTTGCGAGTTTCTTACTTTTCACAGTGCATCTCAAACTGCTCGCTACATTGGTTGTTTTTTGGATTATATTCTTGACAGTAAGGGTCTTGCATAAGATGCACACAAAAAGAAATTGATTTATTTAAAGGTTTTAAACAGGCGCGCAATAATTTCAAGGAGATTGCCGGTGACATTATCAAACGTTGACTATTCAAAATATTCTAAATTGCGCTGATAATTTGCTGAACTTAAAAAATATGTTATAATAATTATATAACTAAAGTAAAAAATAATATTATACGTAATCCAAAATTGTTCAATGGTTTCGTCAACTCCAAACGCAGGATTTCTAATTTTCTTTCCGCTATGAAATATATATCTAGTATGCCCAGTGAAAATCACACCATTTCTAATATGTTTGCTGAATTATTTAGGTCCAATTACTCTCCAAAATCTCCAAAAAATGTTCCGCATCAGCACAAGTTATGTCCGTTTTCTGTCATTAATGCACCTGCCATTTCCGAAGCAGACGTCTTATATCAGTTAAATATATTAGAACAATCATACAATTATGGCCCAGATATGRTTCCCTCGTGCTTTCTTAAGAAATGTGCCAAATATATATACCAACCCCTAACAAAACTACTTAATTCATCTCTTATGCAAGGCTTATTTCCATCCATATGGAAAAAGTCATTTACAATTCCTTTGCGTAAGAGTGGATTTAGGTCATCTATTGAAAACTGTAGGGGAATAGCAAAGTTGTCTGCAATACCTAAACTTTTTGAAGCAATTATAACAGACGACATAACCTTCCGGATCTCTCCACTAATTTCTTCAATTCTTTTGAATAAACTTGATCTTCTTGGTTTTCAACCAATATTTCTAAAATAGGTTGCTTCTTATCTTAGTAATATAAAACAAAAAGTCATATTTAACGATACTCTTTCCGACATAATCAATGTTCCTTCAATCGTTCCTCAAGGTAGCCATCTTTTTCCAATTCTGTTCTTGTTATTTATTAATGACATATCATCTGTTGTTAAGTTTTCAAAAATTTTATTATATGCTGACAATGCTAAATTTTTTAAATCATTCACCTCAAATAGCGAAAGATGTCAATTGCAAACAGACTTAAACAACAAACTCAATTTTAATCTTCACCCATCTTCCATGGTTTTTAAAGCTAAAGGTGCTCTTGGCTTTGTTAAACGTTGTTCTAAAGAGTTTAGAGATCCGCTTACCACAAAAATTCTTTTTACATCTATGGTGAGGCCTATATTAGAGTATGCTTCCGTGGTATGGAACCCTTTTTATCAAGTTCATTTTGAGAAAATAGAGTCCATTCAAAATCAATTTATACTTTTTGCCTTAAGTCATTTGCATTGGGATTCCAGTTTAAATCTTCCCCCTTACACTAACCGTTTAAAACTTATAAATCTCCCTACACTCGCTAGTCGTAGGGAAATGCTTGGTGTAATATTTCTTGTAAAACTCATCAATGGGTCAGTCTTTAGCCCATCTGTCTTGTCTGATATTAATTTTACCATTCCCGCTCGCTCTACCAGGCAGTTTAGACCCTTATTTTTAAAATTATCTAGAACAAATTTGGAGTTAAACGAACCATTCCGTCGTATGTGTCACGATTTCGATTCTCATTCCAGCACATTTGATCTAACAGATTCTCTCTTTATGATTAAAAAAATTATTTTATGTACTCTTAACAAGTAACATTTAAAAATTATAAACCTTAATATAATTCTTAATTTTGGCTGTTGAAATTTTTCTTTCTGCAGCTGAGCAGCTTAAGATCGCAACGCTTAATACTCCCTTGCCTTTTATGACTCGGCTAATTCCGCTCGTTCCCGGATTGCGCCCCTCGCGTCGGTTGGGCGGGAGGAGGGTAATCGTTGGGTATAATTATAAAAGCAAGCTAGGGCGATGGAGAAAATGTTACAAATTGCGCTTGAAGTACAGAGAGAATAATATTAACAAAATATTTAATAATTTAAATAAAATGTTAAATTAATTCAATATATTATCAATCATATATTATTTAAAAGAGAGTTAATTAATAAAGAGTTTTTAAGTACTTATTTTTAAATTATTATTTTAGTTTTATTTATATTTTGTTAAATAATTAATTTGTTATGTTAATTTTTTCAAATTCAATGTTTTTGATAGGAAAGTTGTCAACCGCTCTGAGTTTCGTAGAGTCGTACAATACGTCTAAWCGCACGCTCACAACGCCGTGTCGAAGACTGCCGAATCATAGATAATCTTGATCAGAATCTCGTTTCTTGCTCTCTCACTTGTCAGCTGGCAGGGCACCCTCTGTTTTCTGAGCTGGCGACAAAGCACAATCAGGTTGCCGTCAACCAGCAGTTATTGAAAAAGGCGGGATGCCAGAAGAGCAGCGCTATAATTACTTGACGAAATTAGTGTGAAATGAAATTTCATTGAACTGTGAGAACATATTTGGCAAAATAAATGTTAATGTAACTTAATTAATGACTTTGCATTTTAGCATTTAAATATGTATGCATTTTCAAAGTGTTTAATTTAATGTTTTGTATAATTTATTAAATACCCAAGGTAATATTGGGTTCTGTTTAATATCGCGCCGGTTAATTTTGGCTCAGTGTACCTAAACGAGAGAACCAAATTGAAAATTTTAAACACGCATGTATGCTTAAATTAAATCGGTTAACAAATTTTCCTACAATTTTTTTTTTTAAATGCTATTTTTTGCAAATTTCTAAATATATGCTACTGTATTTTCATCTGTTGCGCATTGTACCAAACCAATTATGGATACATTTTCACGCACACATATTGCTTATGAATTATAAAAATCATTTGTACCTAATGTTTTTTAATTATTTTTGATTGTTAATTTCTTTGTAAATCTTTAAATAAAATACACCTTTTTTCTGCATAGAGTTCAATAATGCGAAAAACCAAAATGACTGCCTAATTTTAACTGTCAAATTACCAAGAAGCGCGAACAAAAGGGAATAAATTAAACCCACTTAGCAATAAATGTATGAAGTGAACGCGAAAAGGTGTTCAATGCTAAAATACTGTGGATGGCGTAGCCGGTGTTAGACCTGCCAGGGTTATTTTTTTAAAGCGCGGCCGAATTCCGCCAGTAAAGAAAGGAGTTCTTGCGAAAAAACTCTGAACACCCAGGTGTTGGATCGACCAGGGTTATTTTTTTTGAAGCGCGTCCGAAGGCCGCCAGTACGGAAAGGAATGAAATGCTAAAATACTGTGGAGGAAATCCCGTTGAAGCATTATTTTACAAATTTAAGTATAAAATAAATTAAGGCTTTATATTTCTTAACGATTTCAATAATTTCAATATACCATGTAATATGTTATGGTGGGCAGCATAACAGTACTTTTCATATGTTTACCCATATTTAAAAATTTGCCGGTATTCAAAATACGTTTTCGGTGTTATTCGACGTTATTGAAATTAAAAATATTATTATAAAACAATGTGCGAAATTGCAAATGGTGAGTAATATTAATAAATAATAAGATATTCTAATATTGGAATATATTTATTTTTTTTTAGGAACGCGATCCACACGGTTTGAGTGGAGCCTTATGCGTGTTGGCACCGAGCGAGTAAATGTGCCCTGTACACAAGGTCCCAAAGACTATATGGAAAAGGGGGCAAATTTGGGTATTTTGTGTGCTACAGGGGCACGTGCACAAAAAAGTCACGTGTTTCAGTAACCATCGGGACATGGTTTGAAAATGTCCGCATCAGTGTTCCTCATGTGTACTTTTTGATGTACTGMTTTGCGTATCGTATTCCCGCGAAGAAATATTGCACGAGGACTATACAAATGACGGGAAAACTTTGTCATCTGCAACAATAACAGACTGGTATAGTTATTGTCGAGAGGCCGTGGTAATATGAACAGGGAAAAATTGGTGGTCCGGGAAAAATTGTTCAGATCGACGAGAGTAAATTTGGGTGGCGGAAGTATAACAAAGGTAATACTATTTCCCTATACAATGAATTTAACTCTAATAATGTTTTTTGTTTACATTTTAGGCAGGCGCGTAGAGGGACACTGGGTTCTTGGGATGATTGAAGATAGTAGCGAGGACATACCCTTCGAAGTATGTCCTGACAATATTCGAACGACGCACATTTTAATTCCACTGATCCAGAAGCACGTGGCTGAAGGAAGCATAGTTCGGACGGACTGATGGCGGGCATACGACGCATTCCTAAATTTTGGGTACGTCCACCAAAAAGTGAATGACAGTAAACACACCAAGACTTTCGTTTGTGAAAATGGTGTTCATACGAAGCGGATTGAGTCGTGAAACGTTTTTTTTACGAAGCCAACTATAATCACACSGCCAACTTCGCCGACGTCATCGTCGAATATATGTATGTGGCGGCGATGTATTCAAAAACAAGGAAAAGATCCCTTTGTAGCATTAATAGATGCAATTAAATATGTAAATACATTGCACTGAAACATTTTGGTTTTCTTTATTTTGATTTCTTATTCATACAAAAATATTGGTTAGGTTGCATTGGTTTCAGTTTGTATGGAAAAATGAGCAAAMACACTGATTTTTGGTAATTTTCAAAGGGCTCCCTACAGGTCTATAGGGGTTCTATGGGGTTTATGAAAAAGTTCGATACTTTCTCCTTCCAATAAGGGGTAGACGCCCCCTGTTTTTCTCCATAAACGATATTTAACCGGCGCGATACTAACAATCCCCCTAATATTATTCAGCAGTGGCATTATTGGCAAATGTTATAAAAAATGCGAGTTTTGACAGCTCTCTCTCGAACCAAAGAGTCTCGTATRAAGTTATCTATGGCCGAACTGAAACGACGTTAGACCATAGAATGTAAGGTATAGAGAAGGTGCAGGTTCGATGTCGAACATTTGTTAGATTCAAATTAAGGAATTGTACGTCGGAATTCGCCTCACAATTTTAAAATTTTTTACAATTCTCTCACATATAACCGAGAATATGAAGATAAATAAATATATGTATGTATTTACGGCATATGATGACATGGTATATATGCCGAAGCAGAGAATATGAAGAGACAAAAATATTAAATATGTATATATTAAATATACATATATGTATATATGCATGCCCATGATTACACTCCTAACGAAGAATTTCGTTTTTCTTTTGTTATTTGGTTTCACTTTTTACAGCGAAAAATGTGTACAAAACACACCTCTCACACAGATAATAAGAATAAGTAGGAGTCATAAACTCCCAACAACAGCATTGTGATATTTCCATGCTTCAATTTTTGCTTTGGCAATGTATGCAAATATGTATGTTTTTGCGCTTTGCCGTCGGCATTTCCATATTGGCATGTAAAAATAATTATGAGTATAATTTTGTATGAATACATGCATAGTACTATTCACAGTAAATTTGTACTTGAATATTTAATAATTTTGTTTGATTTTTACATAAAATACTATACTAATAGTAGTATTTGAAATTGAATTTATCACAACAATAATAAATACATACATATATCGGCTATCATATTAATCTTATGTATGCTCATATGTATACGCATGTGCGCGTTCAGGAAATCAAATCATGATTATATCACTTATACATATTACATGTGCGTGTATTAATCTGCTTGTTCATACCTACATTCATATACACTTATATGTACATTATATGTGGCTTTTTCAAGGATTTCCATACCAAATTCAGAAGCAGACAGACGTCCGGCGGCATCTTTGTAAGCAAAAAAAGTTGTTCTGGTTCGCTGTTTTTCATTAGCAGAAAAGTTTTTATCTGGTAACCACAAACGCCCCAGTTTTTATTGATTGGGCGAATTTCGTACCTTCTCTTCTGTTTTTTGTTTTTATACTTTTTATATAAACTATATAAAGAGAACATTTCAGCACTATTGTCCATTGCTGCTGACACAATTTTTAGAATTGTATGAAATGTCAAACAAATAAAATGTAAACAAAAGAGAACAGCTGATTTCTACGTTTTTGCTACGTTCTCAACTGTTCACACATTTTGCTCGATAAGGAAGGAAGGCAGTAGCGTTCACCACTGTTTCTGCTATAACACTCTGTAGCAACTGGTTTCAAGAGTATAAAAAGAGAAAATTCTACGAAACATGGCAAGAAAAGTAAAATGGTTCATTTTCAAATTATCGGACTCAATTTTATAATATACACATATTTTATGAAGAAATTCTAAATGGATGATCGTAAAACTTGTTTGTATTTTTACTGAGTTAAATTTTTCCATTTTTTGTAACTAGTAGCAAATTAAGAACTACAATTCGCAACATATTGCTTCAGAGTATAATAGTTTTGTTAATAGTTTTTTATATAAATAATCAAGATGATGATGTTGTTGAGACGAGTTCAAGTACGGGGATTATCTGTTCGGTTGTGTATGCTATAACTTGAATAAAAATGGAGATTTCTTAACGCAACTTGGTACACATGTTTCTCGGTATCGTAATCGCACAATTGCCACGCCAACAGAGTGCCAATTATCGAAAAGCTATAAAACTTCAAAAGACATAACTAAGCTTCACAATCAAATGTGATACTGTAATTTCATACAATTCGAACTACAACCAAGCGTATTTTTCATACAAGAAGCTTTTCAAAGTAAACATGACTTAAAAAAACAAAACAGAACAAATGGTTTTTTGGACAAAAACAATTTATTTTATTCAAAATAGTCTACTTCTGCTTCAAAACAGCTTTTTCCACGATCCATACGCATGTCCAACGAGTGTTTTAGCTCGTTGGCCGGTATGGCCGCCAGTATGCCGGTACAAGCCTTTTGAATGGCCTCTAGGTCTGCATAATGCTTTCCTTTAATACCCAAATTAATTTTTCCGATTATTGGATTTTGAGCAATTTTTGGTCTTCAGTCAATTCGTGTGAAGCGAACAGGTATTTCTAGTCTTAACTTCTAGAAAGGTAATATGTGGACCTCAGTGTCAATTGACATTTTGCTGAAAATATCAGTCAAGATATGTGATTAAAATTCAGACGAAATCTGTCTCTGCCAAGAGTATATCCTTAATTAAATATATCGAAAAATGCTAAAACCGGGTTAATACTTTCCCCAGTAAGTTACCGCAATAAATTTCATAGAGCATGTATTTCTAATAACAATTTGTCCTTGTACTTTAAATAGAAAAATTCGGATAAATATTTTTCCTAGCTCCCATATATGTACATAATCTTAACCTTTTCAAACAAAGTGGTTGGCTCTTGATAAACTTAAACTATTAAATATACAATAGTGTAATATCAAAAAATGTCCTGGAATGTCTGGGCCGCTGCCCAATCCACAAAAAGGGGAGACCCTATAATCTATGCCAACTACCGTGGGATAAGGCTTCTCAACATCCCGTATAATGTTCTTTCGAGCGTATGGTGTGACAAATTAAAGCCCAACGTCAACAAACTGATTGGATCTTATCAGTGTGGCTTTAGACCTTTCAAATCAACAACCCATAGAAAGAGAATTAACACTCACCACCTCTTCGTCGATTTCAAGGCTGCACGAAAAATAGCTGCCTTTATGCCGCTGTGTCTGAATTTGGTATCCTCTCATAACTAATGCGGCTGTGTCTACGACAATGAAGAAGAAGAACAATGTCAAAAATCTGTGAAAGCGTCTTTAGTCTGAATTTAAAACGTTTATGTCGACTTATTTCAAATTTAATACATATATGTATGTACAGTATATGATATGAGCTTAACCAAGGGGGTTAGTTTTGAAGTAAAGAAAGTAGTATTGAAATTAGTGTCCGATCGAAAAATTGGCATCGGCCATTATTATTATATGTTCTTTGTACTTTTTTGGGATGACATTCTATGATATTGTTTTTTATACTCTTGCCAGATGTTTCCACAGAATATAACAGTTTTGTTCACCTAATGTTTATACGTATATGCTAAAACTAAGCAAGATCGATATAGGGCTGCATCTATATACATTGATAAAACATGGTATGAGCATTACTTCGCAAAAAAGAATTCGATTTCGTAAATGGGCGTAAGCCGAATACTGCCCCGCCCACAAAAGGTCATTAACTGAAAACTTTTAAAGACCATTAACTATGCTCTAAATTAAGATATAAAACATTAATTTGGCACAAGGGATTGCAGTAGCAATGTGGGCAAAAAATTTGTAAAAGAGGGCAAAACTTCTCTCTTAAACAACTTGAACTAAAACAACCAAATTCAGCTTGCCAAAATATTATGAGAACTCCTACCTGTGAATTTGATATTTGACATTCCTTCGCCTTTTCTATGTTACAGTGTGAAAATCGAACACGCCTACTTTCTAAGTAACAAAATTCTAAATTCCATTTGACACTTTTGCTATATCAGATACCAGATTTGCACAAATAATCCATTTGWGGTTTCCTGATAGTAGTATGTCTGTGTGCTGCAAATGGGTTGAATGGGGTTGAAAATACTCTTATACCCAATTTACTTAATATACAGATTTTTGAACTTTATGACAATAAACAATATATGAGTTATCGTAATGAGATTGAGAGAGCGTGTTTTCCTTATAAGGGTAAGTAGGTGTGTTTATAATGAATAAAATAAGATGGAAACTCACCCTAGATCCCATATAACTAACAAGCCTTGTGTACTTACCTGGCTTTAATCCTTGCAGGTTGCAAGAATATGCATTGTTCGGTTATATCGAACTAAGCTGTCATTTATTTAGTTTTATATTCTTGCAACCTGTAGCTACAGAGTAAAATAGTGTTTTTTATCACCTAACAGTTGCATGTATCACTTATAACTAAGCCTGATAGTGGAATCTTATTTTTTCTGACAGAAACCTTTCTTCACAATAGTAATTCTGTGTATCAAAAATTGGTGGAATATATACAATACAAAGCTATTCAAACTTTTAGGTGACTTTATATATCCAGTATAGGTCAATATTTGAGTTATCTCAATGAATATTACAAAACATGTTTTACTCATAACAACATATCTTTTCGCCTAAAATAGATACAGTGAGGCAAAACTTGACCTAGCCCTCATATAACTATTACCAGGATTTTGAAAATCTG